GAGTGGCTTAATACAGGGACAATCGGTACTGTTTTTCAAAATAATCCCAAATGATTAAAAACGGAGATCATCTGCTTTATTACATTCTCAGTGCCAACCTGGCAGGCACAGCATGAAAGCGGGTTCTTCCTCCAACAGGCAGAACTCAAAAATCGCCTAGATACACACAAGTCACCAAAGACAGATTTTCTTGGAGATGTGACCTAAACGCGTCTTTGTCATCTGATAGTTTATTGTGCTTATTCCTTTGTTCAAATACATATTTCAGTAAGCACTTACTAAGGACCAGGAGATGCAGCTACAGTGAGAGATGAAGGTTTGATCCTCAAGCTCGAGGACCTGCACGTGAATAAATAAAAGTGTGTGCTAAATCCTGCAAAAGAGGTCAACCCAGGGTGCCTGGGGAGCCACAGCACGGTGGTCTCAGAGGAAGCGATGCTGGGGGGTGGTCTCCGAGAGAAGCAGGTTCTTCTAGGTGAAAAAAAGCGGGGAAGAAGAGCCCAGCTGAGTGAGGCATGGAGGAAGAGGCCAAACCTTCACAGAGTGGGTCCAGGAGATCAGAATGGCTGGAGAGAGAAGGTGCTCTGGGCAGAGGCAAGAGAAGGCCAAAAAGGAAGCCAAAGGAGCGTCTGGAGAAGGTAGCAGGGGCCAGAGCAGGAAGGATCTTAGTGTCCCAAGGTAGAACGAGTGGGCTTTGGTTCACAGGCAGTGGGGAGCTGCACTTAGAGGATCTTAAGGGACTGGTGTCTTCTGATCAGAGGATCACTTTGGCGGCAGCCTCGAGGACACGCTGGAGGGCAATGACATTAAAAATGAGCAAAAATGCTACTGCAAAAGCCCCAGGAATGAATCATCAGGGTCTCAATAAAGGCAGGGGCTATGTATATGGAGCAGAGGGGGCGGATCCAAGACTGACTTAGGAGGCAGACTCGATGGCACATGGTGACTTACTGAGTATAAAGTATTGCCTCTCAGCTTGTTCATCATGTGGGAATGGTTTGAATAAACCCTACTTCCTGCTTTTGATAGCAACAAGTAACCTATGACAGCCTGCAGGACTCTGTTGTCACAACTCTTACCCTGGGTCAAGCTCACTTACGGGCCTAGAAGGCTGTCAGTGACAGGCAGAGGGTGAGGCCCAGGGAGTGGAAATGCTTCCAGAAAGGGGACCCAATTATTTACATGTCCATTTCCCCCAGACACTGTCAATAACGTGGAAACTGGGGAGGACCCAAGATCTGGATCTGTGCTTCTGGAAAGAGGCTTTGTTTGAATCATATGAGGAGTAGGCTCAACAGGTTTGAAAGATAAAGTACATTCAGTTTTCTAGAAGAGTTCCAAGTGGCTAAGGTGCTCTGTGGAAGAGTTGGCCAGGGATGGACCATCACAGAGGGCAGGCTTATAGACTAGGGCCTAAGCTCGGGCTGGGGAAGCTGGGGAAAGTGGAGTGGGGCCGCTCCAGGGAAACTGGCAGAAAATGGCTCTCTGTGGGAGGAGGTAGACCAGGCCATTTTGGACACAAGAGTCCAGAAGCAGCTCTGACTGGGACTGAGGGAAGGAGACTGTGGGGAGCAGGACACAAAGGACACCAGTGAAGCTGGGTCAATGATCCACGCAGGTGTCTTCTGGCCAGCACTCATGCAAGGGAAATGGGATCCTGGGGTCTGAGATGTCAAGCCAAAAAATGAAAGAGGTGGAATGGGCAGGAAGCAAGAGGCCAGGGAGAGGTCAGGAGGTTTATCATATCTGCCTGGGAACAACAGACAAGCTCGAGTCCAAAGGTCTGGGATTCTTGGATTTGCCACTTCTAAGCCCTTCAGAGGACCCTGACATGGCCAGAAAGGGCCTTCTGACATGATTTGGCTCCTGACAGCTTTTCTCTCCTGCCTCACATGCTCTCCGTTAATATTAACTGCAGCAATGCCAAAGACTTCTAGCTCTTAGATCACTGCTACTTCATGCCTAGCTTACATTGTTCTCTCTTCCCAGAAACATGCCTCTATCACATTGCCTGCCTGGAGAACTCTTCTTCAGACCCAAGCTATGATGTCACCTACTCTGATCCGCCTACAGCCTTAGAATATTACCACTGCACTTCCTACGCTGCATGACAACGATCAGACATGGTGGTCATTCACCTCATGTTGGCAGACAATAGGCCTGCATTGCTTGTCCCATAAGTAAATGAAACGATGTATCCTAAGATGGGCCCAGTTCACCTTTCTGTGGCCAGGCTGCTGACAGAGTGAAGCAGTCCCCTGCTTGCTGTGGGTCTAGAGTCTTAGTGGAACCACCTCACTGAGGCAGAGGACTGTGAACCATAGAGAGTCCCGATCCTTCGGCACTGGAACCAGCCCTGCGGTGACCTCACACCTTCCATGCATCTCCATGGCACCTCAGCTGGCACTGAAGCCAGGTCCTACAAAGTGAGGGATGTGCCAGGCCAAGAGACACCCCCAGCAACACCAACCACACATCCTGTTCCAGCATCCAGGGTGTTGGCCCTTCAGAGGATGACCTGAGGAGAAAGAGCGGATCGCTGCCTGGCTCTAGGATGGAGACCCTGAACCTGGGACAAGGTGGGTGGGGGTGTAATGGGCTCCAAGGGATTCAGGAATTGTGGAGTGGATGGCCACTTTTCTGGGGAGACAGTTCACAGCTTTCGTCGGTTTTGCCAAGAGGCCCATGACTATGAAATATGAAGACCCATCATTGCGGAAATGTGCCCGAGTTCCTCATGGCAGCTCTGCTCAGAGAACCAGCTGCTGACTGCAGATCACAGAGACCTTGTCACGGTCAAGGCAGATCACGGAAAGGACTCGGGTTCCCCCACAGTGAGGCATGTACAAGCTCCCACACCACCCTGAGAAAAGCCTTTTTGAAGACGAATGTTGTGCGTAATTTAAAGAAGTTCCATGGTCTGTGTTTGGATCAAGATCAAATGCAGCCAGTCAGAGGGAGTTAGTTTTAGGACCTCTATGTTGACCTTCCTTAAAACAAGTCTTCCAAAAAAAAAAAAAAAGAAAAGGCAAATCTCCAGGGTCTCATTCCTGACGGAGAGTCATGTTTGACCTTGTTCTATCTGGGCTCAGGAAACACGAATAAACAGACAAATCTGGTGCTATGGTTCTTTTACATTTGACTCCCTCCCCCTTTTTTTTTCTGGCACAGGAGCCTGTGTTTTTAAAAGAAAAAAAAAAATGCTTTCCATATTAAAGAGGCCAGAAGCACACACACACAAAGAGAAAGCAAATCTAAAACTAGAGTGGCTTGTACTAAACTCTGGGGAATTCAGAGTCACTTTTCACCCACATCCTGTAAGGGCAGAAAAAGCACAGGAAAAGGTTTCTACTAAAATGTGTGCATGTTTTTGTTTTTTTTCTTTTTTAAAGAAAAACATGAATCATTCATATCCACCCAGATATCTTGAATAGCACAGCTGGACATTTTTTTGTTTGTTTGCTTAGTTCCCACTGTTCTTCCCCTGACTTCTGAAAAGATAATTTTTAAAAAAAATCCTTAGAGTGAACCTTTACGTTTCAATTGTTAAGAGCACATACTTTGTACCCAAACAGGTGTGGGCTCTGCCACTGACTTGCTAAGTAATGCTGGGCAGGTTTCTTAACCTCTTTAAGAGCCTAATTATCCCGCCAATTAAAATGGGAATGTGAACAGTATGGACGTCAAATGGATGCTGAAATGTATGTTAAAAAAAATCGTAGGCTAGCGTGGCTCACTAAGCATTAAGAATAGGAGCTGTGCAGGCGCCTGGGTGGCTCAGTCGTTAAGCGTCTGCCTTATGCTCAGATCATGATCCCAGGGTCCTGGGATCGAGTCCCGCACTGGGCTCCTTGCTCAGCGGGGAGCCTGCTTCTCCCTCTGCCTGCCCCTCCCCCTGCTTGTGCTCTGACAAATCTTAAAAAAAAAAAAAAAAAAAGACTAGGAGCTATGGAGTAACATCTCTATCAATGCAACAACCCCTCCTCAATGACACCTTAGTGCATTCTCCTGCACATCATAACATGTAGAAAGAAAAGACCCATAAATAGTAGGACTGTGTTTCTCAGCAAGGATTTGTCCCCCTTCCCTCTGCATAATGCCGGTCATCTGTCCAGGCCCACACCAGATCCAGAAAGCCGGTCTGGAAGAGACAGCTCATACTTCCCAGGAACCAGGCGCTGTGAGTCCTATCTGCCCTGGCCAGGTCGGAGCCCAATGTCTGCCTGCCTTCACCGTGCCCAACTTAGCTGGGAATCTAGATGGTTCTCCCACGTGCACCTGGGCCACAAAACACTACTTCTGAGAATTTGCTCATCAAACGATCATCATTCTTCAGAAGCCATCAAGCTCCACTTTCCTCTTTTTCTCCAAGGGAAGTTTTACCCACCTTCTGTAAATTCACCATGTCGGAAACATCTCTCCCAGGTTCTGAGTCTTATTATTTGGTTGCTAAGAATTGCAGGCTGGGGGACTCTAACGTCCTCCTTCCTTCTGACAATCACTGTGGCTAAGTTTGCATATTATGGTCTTTGCTCTAACTGTTGGGACTCATTCCTGATCGCCCAAAATAATTTCAGCAAATATACCGCTTGCCTCAAGCTTCTGCCTCCACACTGAGTATTCAGGGATCTGCTTATCAATTCTCTAGAATTCTCTCCCCGGGTGGAATCTTACTTCTGTCAAGGTTTGTATATGGCTTTTCTGGGTAATTGGTGCATTACACCTAATTTCTTTTCCCTCCAGGGGAGGATGAGAAGAAAAAAAAAATCCTTGTTTCATTTTATCAAAGAAAGCAGGCTTAAGCTTTTTTTAGTAAAATCCATGGATACTCCAGACAATTCCCTTATCATCCACCAATTCCCTCAATATCAAGGAAGCACGGATGGGCACTGGGACTGCAAACGACGGGACTCCACGCGTCCACTCTGGACATTCATTACCAAGGTTACGAGACCACAGACGCCTGTCCGAAGGCAATCACAGCAATGACACGTCCTTACCCGGCAGTCTCTCTGAAGTGTCTTCATGAGCGCGTTGTACGTTTCTGTGTCAAAATATAACCCTTCGTGCATGTCTTGCAGGAAATCTAAGTCCTTAAACGTGGGGTTGGACTTCTCTCTCTCCTTTCGGGAGGCTCTTCGCTTGTAAGTGGAGCCTTTCAGGTCATATGTGAAGTGCATTCGCATGGAGCGCGGTAAGACGTTGTTCATTACCACAATCCTGATATTAATGCCCCCTGACTGCATGCAATACAGTCCATAAAATTTTGGCAAAAGAGTCCTTGGATTCTGGTTTAAATTCTAAAAGGAGAAAAAGGAAAAAAAAATGTGTCAATTCTCTTATTTTCACAAAAGAAGATTTTGTTAAATATATGTTTTCATCTATGAAATATGAGAATTAAAATTGGGAGTGCAATTCTCTTTATTTATGGCCATTACTAAAATAAAGCTCTTTCTGATTTGATTCTTAAAGTTGGCTCAATGGAACAGTACCTTTATCATTCTCAACCTACAGCATTAAAAGTGGCTGAACTGAATGGACACAGAGTCCCAAATGAGATTCAACCAAAAACAGGCAAAGAATTTATTAGTGCCATGTGTGACTAAGATCTAAGGGAGCTAAAAAGGAAATTAACAGCTGGGGTCTAAGCAATGAGCATTTAAAATTTTAATAGCTCCTGAAAAAATTATCTTCCAAAATGGGTAGACTGATTTACAATCACACTTTGTAAGATTATGTATTTCTCGTCACCCTTCATCCATGATGAGCAGCAACAAGCTTTAAAATCTGTGTGACTGGTTAAAAAAAAGGAAACTCTTTTTAAAAAATTGGAATACCGCTGATTATTAGAGAAGTGTAGTATGTTGTATGTATTTTTAGCCATTTCGAAGACAATTCTGTGTTAATAGTCTTTGCCTATTTTTCTGTAGGTTTTTGTTATTTTTGGAGTTCTCAATACACTCTGGATATTTGTCATTTTCCTATTCTCTATGGGGTAAATATTCTCCTCCAGTATGTTATTTTTTTTATACAAATAAAAATACATGCCTATTTTTGTTTCACTTTAAAAGTAGGTGAGAAATTAAGAACAGTTTGCTGGAGGGCATTTACATCAGGAGAAGTTTCTCTACTATCCCCTGATTCTTCTCCCAATTCCCAACTTTTAACTACTCTCCCCACTTTCTCCATTCTAGAAATATTCTATGTGCTTACATTCATTTTGTATCTGGTATTTTTTTTTGTTGTTGTACCGATGTATTGCCTTTTGATGTAGTCACATTTACGTACTTCTTTCTTGTGCTTTCTTTTTGCTTCCTGTTTAGTGAAGCTTTTTATACCCCAAGGCCCTAAATTTCTTCTCTTCCAAACTTCTCGTAGTTTTGGTCATGACATTTGGTTTTTACTCCATATGGAATGATTTTGTGTGCGTGTGAAAGATGTGAAATACGGAATTGTTTGAATTCACTGATCTATTTGTCTAGCACTGTACTAATTCTTTAATATATTAATATCTTTAATATTAGTAAAAGTTTATGGGTTTTTGGTATATGTCACAGCAGGTTCACTATTTTAATTCTTTATCAAAAATGTTTGTCTAGTCTTACAACCCCTCCCTTCCACTGTTTGTTTTTTTAAATGCTCTTAAAATGATACTTGTTTTCACTTTCTTTTTGTTTGTTGTCACTTTCAAATGAACCAGCTCAGGGAAAAATCTTACAGGCATTTTTTTTTTTTTAATTATTAAACACAGACTTAGTTCACTTTATTTTTCTTGTACAAAGTATGTGGTGGCCACAGCGGGAGCGGGAGCCTGGGTCCCCTGCACGGAGACTCTGGTATGTGGGTCGTTATAAGATGGTCAGTGAATTCCTTTTTTTTTTTTTCTTTTAAGATTTTATTTATTCATTTGAGAGAGACAGGCAGAAAGAGCACAAGCCAGGGGGAGAGGCAAAGGGAGAGGCAGACTCCCCGCTGAGCCAGGAGCCCAATGTGGGGCTCCATCCCAGGACCTGGAGATCATGACCTGAGCTGAAAGCAGACACCTAACCATCTGAGCCTCCCAGGCGCCCTGGTCAGTGAATTCCTGATATGGAGATTCAGTGAATGCAGTCTGTTTCCAGAGTCGGGGTGAGCTAGCTGTAAGTCTTGGGAATGGTGACAGAAGTGGCCTCGGTGAAGTAGTCCCTGGCTGAGAGGGGGCAGTCGTCTCTACCGACCCCCGCCAGTAGCTTCTCTGGCACAGAGGCTGAGGCAAGGCCAGTGCCCCTGGGGTCAGGGGTGAGGCGCCCCAGCACAGAGCCACAGCGGCTGGTCACCTTGCATGGGACAGTGGGGGGCTTGCCGTTCTTATTCCCCAAGTAGCCTTACCACACTGATTGATGGAAAGTTTATCTGGGATCATGGCCCCACGGATGGCAGTGGCGACCTCTTTGGACCACTTAACACCCAGACCGCCTTTTCCATTGTCATCTCCGATGGCAACAAATACCTTGAACCTGGTCCACTGGCCAGCACAGATCTGCTTTTTGCACCAGCATAGTCTTCAAAACCTCATCTTTGAGGGATGCCCCCAGGAAAAGTCAGTGATCTCAGATTCCTGGATGGGCAGGGAGAAGAAACAGATCTCCTCCAGGGACTTGATCTTCATGTCCTTGACCAGGCATCCCAGCTTGATGACAGGGATCCACTCCTTGTCTTTGGCCTACAGAGAAGCCACTGTGGTCTCACATTCCCTCACCCCTGTGGCCCCCAGGCCCACCCACAACCTCGGTGCCATCTGACACTTGGTGTCTTCTCGGAGAAGCAGCCCTACTGACATTCTTGATTGGAATTAGATTGGATTTATAACATGATTTGGGAGAACTGAAATCTTTACAATACTGAGTTCAGGAATGAAATGTGTCTCATTATGTTGGAAATTTTTTTACGTCCTTCCATAACAATTTGTAGTTTCCTTCATATTGTTCTTAGATATTTGTTTTTTACAGACTCAAGCATTTTAGAGTTCCTATTACAAAAATTCTTTTGGGGTTATTGCTCACACATTATAATACTTACTATAATTTGCTTTCCCTACCAGAATGATAGTCTGCCTTCATTCATTTGTATCTTTATTCTTTTTTTTTTTTTAAAGATTTTATTTATTTATTTGACAGAGAGAGACACAGCAAGAGAGGGAACACAAGCAGGGGGAGCGGGAGAGGGAGAAGCAGGCTTCCCGCGGAGCAGGGAGCCCGATGCGGGGCTCGATCCCAGGACCCTGGGATCATGACCTGAGCCGAAGGCAGACGCTTAATGACTGAGCCACCCAGGCGCCCCTGTATCTTTATTCTAATAACATTCACTGTAAGTTATTGTCCTCATAAACGGGATCTCATTTTCTCCCTTCTATCCTCCTACTCTAGATGATCTACATAATGGAATACAATGGATTTTGTAGATGCATCTTACATTCCTGCAAATCTGCTGGACTCTCATTACCTCCAGAAACTGCTAGTTAATTTTCTTGACGTTTTGCTCATTTTTAATTGTATCGTTTACAAGAGAAGAGTGTTTATACTTTTTCATACTCAGAAAGTTATTATTGCTAGAAATTCTTGCAAATATATATCTTGCAAACAATGATGGAGGGGAATCCTTATCTTTTTCCATTATTTCCAACTAAAGGGCTCTTGTTCTTCTCCATGAGGTACTAAATAAATCTTGGAGACTGATAAATGCATAATATGTGTGTTAACTTATTTGTTTACGTTAAAACTTCCCTGCCAATTTAAAGAATTTTAAGCAGGAGAAGATGTTGACTTTTGAATGCCTTTGTTTCTATTCAACATTTATTTGGATTATCACATGATGTTCACATTTTTTCTTGTTAACTGGATGAATTACACTATTTGTTATACTAGCTTACATGATTGGGGTAAACCACCTGTTCAGCTAAATTTTACCATTTAACTTTAATTAATTTCAAATTAGTAGCTGCATATGGCTAATGACTACCCTATTGGACAATGCAGTTCTAGAACAAGAGACTAGTCTACCTAAGCTTAAAACTATACACGTTTAAGATTTACTCACTTAGCGGGTTAGTAAAGTGCAATGACCATTTGATCCCAATTTCACATTATTTAAAAAATGTGTGTATGAATAGAATACATCAGGAAGGACATACACCGAATATTAGCAGTATGTATCTCTGGGCAAAAAATGAGAGTCGGCTGCATTTTTCTTGCTTTGTGGATCTTCTGTTTTCTCTAATATAAAGTAGACAATACGCTCTAAAAAAAATTTCCCAGCTTTGTTCAGGATCAAACCTTGTAAAATCCGTCCATCCTGTCCACTGAGATTTTTACTTCGATTTTGATCCCTATATTTATACGTGTGACTAATCTCCAGCAGATTTGGGAATTAAATACTATTTTTACAGCTGTGTTTCACATATAGCTTAGTGCTCAATGAATGCTAAGCATTCACATTATGACTCTGTACTGGGAGCCAAGAGCCTGGCAAGGCACTGCTTTCTTTATCCTACACCCAGTCGTCTTTCTTGATCACAACAACCATCTAAGACAGGTATTTTGCAGCTTTTAAAGACTGAGGAGACTGCAGCTCAGAGCTTATATTGCTTACTCACGGTCATACCGTTCGCTGATGGCTGAGCTGGGATTTGAACCCAGAACTGTGGGAGTCAACTATCCTCTACTAACAGTTCTACTTGGTAAAATCGAGTCCACAACAGTCGCAGTACAACCAAATGCAAAACAAAGCTCACCCAAGAGAAAGAAACACGCCACAGGGTGACGGTAAAAAAGCAGAGGGGAAAAAACTTGTGGAAAGTAATTAAATCTCAAGTAGGAGTTTTAATTACAGACGGTTACTTACCATGTAATAGCCTGGCAGCAGCTTCTGAAGGAATTCAGCTTCCTTATGCTGAACGGTTTTGATGATAAATTCATCATCACTGGTCACAAAAAACAAGGATCCACTGGCTCCGGGGTTGGACAGCTCTATTAGAGGTTCACTGCAGATGGAATACTACAAGAGTAAATAAATAAACAATTAAAAATACACCACTAGGTATTTATCCAAAGGATACATAGTGATTTAAAGGGGCACCTGCACCCCAATGTTTATAGCAGCAATGTCTACAACAGTCAAACTATGGAAAGAGCCTAGATGTCCATCAACAGATGAATGGATAAAGAAGATGTGGCATATATATACAATGGAATATTACTCAACCATCAAAAAGAAGGAAATCTTGCCATTGCAACATGGATGTGGATGGAACTAGAGGGTATTATGCCAAGTCAAGCAGAGGAAGACAATCATCATTATGATTTCACTCATATGTGGAATTTAAGAAACGAAACAGAAGACCATAGGGGAAAGGAAGGAAAAATAAAGTAAGCTGAAAACAGAGAGGGAGGCAAACCATAAGAGACTCTTAACTCTAGGAAACAAACTGAGGGTTGCTGGAGGGGGATAGGGTAACTAGGTGATGGGCATTGAGGAAGGCACGTGATGGAATGAGCACTGGCTATTATACAAGACTGATGAATCACTAAATTATACCTCTGAAACTAATAATACACTGTATGTTAATTCAATTGAATTTTAAATAAAAAAATTTTTTTTAAATTAAAAAAATACATTCATTGTACACAAAGTTTCCAAGGAGGAAAATTACAGATTACACATCTAGACCATTCTGAAACAGGAAGTTCTCTGCCATGAGCTTTCAAAAAGGAGGTTCCATGTATATACGAAGAGGGCCCTTTGAGATTTCTAAAAATTTAATTCATCCATTTATCCTAATAATTCTATGAGAAACAGAAATGCTTTCCACACCCCCCCCAACACACACAGCATGACATGACAGAATCATCAATCATCACATCTGTCCAATAAAATAATGCAAACAGTGCTGTGGTCTATGGAGCTCTGTTTCCAGAAAGTGTCCATAACAACTGAAGATATGACTCACACTGTGTATTTGTCACGTGAACACCAACACCTATTCTCTTCTCACTACTTTCCCAAAAGATGTCATCCATGCATGGTTTCCATAAGGAGATGACTATTAACAGCTGGAGTAGCTCCAGCCCAGATCACTGTCAAAGGATCCAGACCTGTACGCCGAACTTTTTAAGAGATACTTCTATCTGGTTATATCACAAGCACTTCATGTGTACCAAGTTCAAAATCAAATTCCTCTCTGGGCTATGGTTAGCCCATATGACGCTTTTGTAGTACCTAGAAAGAGATGTCTCTTTCTTCCGACAGATGTAGCTCTGGGTCAGATACAAGGCTGATGAGGAGAAGGGCTGAATTCCAGTCTCTACTCTTGCAGCTTAGCTAGGTATTCTTGGGCAGTGCACACCCTGCACAACCATACATGGTGACTCTAGATCACCTGCCCCCTCCCCCAATTTCTATCTTCTCCCTCTTACTCATTTTGTTCCCAAACCAGAAACTCGGGCATCATCCTTGATGCCTTCCATTTCCTCACCTTTCATATCCAGACTATTGATTGTATCTGCCCCCTTCATGCCCTCTCTTTTGCTTATATCCTAAGTTCAGTGGTTTCACGTTATACCTTCATTACTATGGGAGACTCCACCTTGCCTCGACTATCCACTCTTGACTTCTCTCATGCATTTTCCACCAGGAAATCGGAGATCTTTCTAAAATGCTAATCTGATCACATCCTCCCAGGCCTTCACAATTTTCAGTGTTTTCTGCTGTCTGGTTAGAAGGTAACACCCAGATTTCCTACTAGCGCTGTCAAGGCCATGAGTGGCCCAGCCCTGCTCTCCAGCCTTCTCCTTTATCACTTCCCTCCTTAAAATCTAGCTCTAGTCACTGACAGCTACTTCCCCTTTTCTCAAATGTGCCACAGACTCTCAACGACTGGGATTCTGCCTCTTCCTCTACCCAAACCCACCTCTCTTCTGCCCTCACCAGGCTGGCTACTCCTCATTCATGTGTTCATTTAACATTGAGAAAACGTCTACTGAGCATCTGTAATGGCCCAGGTGCACATGAAGCTTGGACCCTAGCAGGAGAAAACAGGCAGGAGACAAGTACAGAAACTGTACATCGGAACATGAGAAGTGCTATGGAGAAGATGGGGCACAGAAAGCGGACAGAGGGCCAGCAGGGACTGACAGCTGATTTGCCATGAATTTTAAGTAGTGCTGGCCACTGGAAGCCTCTCTGGGAAGGGGGTATTTGAGCAGAGGCCTGTGGCTGTCTGGGGGAAGGGTGCGTCAGGGGGAGGGGAGGGCAAATGCAAAGGGCTTCAGACCTGGGGAGTTCAAGGCACAGCCAGGAGGCCGGTGGCTGGGGCAGAGAGAGTCAGGAGAGCTGAAAGAATGAAGCCAGAAGAGCAGGTGGGCCAGACCACATGGGGCAGCAGACGGTTGACTTTTTCTCTGGGGGAGCTGAAAGCCAGAGGAAGGTCTGGAGCAGAGGACCACTCCGGTCTACTGTGCCGAGAAGCCACGGTTAGGGGACAAAAGGAAGAGGCACGGGGCACAGCGAGGAAAGTGTTATGTGACTTTGGCTTTCAGCGTTTGCTGGACGGAACTTAATCTGGAAAATTCTTCCCGGTCCCGTGAGTCTAGATCATCTGCTTCCTGGCACTGGATGTTCTCATCACGGAAGTTACCACAAAATACCGCAAATGCCTGTTTCTTATTCCGAGCCCCCAGCAGACCGTAGAACTCTGTGACAGTATCAACCACTCGGCTCATAGGCGGGATATGGTGCAGGATCTGTGTCTTGCACGCGGCAGGCACTAAATAAATTTTTGTCAAACAAATGGCTGAACGCCACCAACAAGTGAAGGGCTATAAATCTCACCAGAAATGCAAAAAAAAACCAAAAAAAAAACCTAACCACACAAAACAAAAAAACCTCAGCAGGGAAGTCAAATTTGGGGTTATGGTGCTCGGTGTTTACCAACTAACAATCCCCACTACTGACCAGAGAAACACTGAGAGCAGAGGAAAAGGTCAGGACCCAGTGTGTGAGATCAGACCAGCCCCAGAGGATTTAGTGAATTGTGTCCTGAAGATGGAAACATCCAGAACATGTCCCAACGCTTTTGTAGCTGGGCTTCTGAAGAGTTAAGTCCCCATCACAGAGAAATCTGAAAGGAGGGGAGTAGGAGGTAGGGGGAGGAAGAAGAAGGGAGAAAGAAACTGGGAGAAAAACAATTAAAAGGCAGTTTCTAGATGCCGACTTTAAATTATCTTGCTTTGGCAGCACATGGATAAGGGAAACAAAATTCTCTAAGAAAAGAAAGAAGTGTGTGCTGCCTTGCTGAAAGCCATGGCAACTTCCGTTTTCCACTTCTCTTTCCTCCAGGCTTGCTTCCTGATGCTTTCGTGCTGAGCAGTGTGAGAGCCTCTGCCATTATGGGTGACTTAGAGCTTAGGAAGGGAAACAACAACAGCCCGAAGACCGCACAGAATGCCATAAAAGCCCCGCGGTAGCAGACGGTGCTTTCCTTGCTGTGGGTGCAGGATCCGTGTGGAAAGCTCATCTCAGTGGGATGGGCATGGGACCTGGAATAACCTTTTTTTTTTTTTTTAAAGATTTTATTTACTTATTCATGAGAGAGAGAGAGAACGAGCAGGGGGAGCGGCAGGTAGAGAGAGAAGCAGGCTCCCCGCTGAGCAGGGAGCCCGATGCAGGACTTGATCCCAGGACCCTGAGATCATGACCTGAGCCAAAGGCAGAGGTTTAACTGACTGAGCCACCCAGGCACCCCCAGATGTGTCCTTTTTTTTTTTTTTAAAGTTGAAATTTAATACATAAATTCATTAATAACAGATTGCTCTTGGCCATCTCACTCATGGGGGAGGGAGAAATTCCCCCATGGAGATTTGCTACCTCACCGTACAGAAGTGAGGAATTTCCAGGGAGAGAAAGCCAGGACAGAAGAGTTATACTTGCCTGATCAAAGCACCACATTTAAAAAGGTCTTTGAAGGAAGAACACTGGTGACATCAAAGGAACATTCCCTTGCACGGGAAGGGACCTGGTAGAAAGTGTTGACTGATACTGACAGGAGCTAAAGCCTCTCAGAAGCCAGTACATGCTGATCTTTCGGGAAGACCTAGAACTAGTATGTGGCCCAAGAAGTCCCTTGCCTTTCACAAGGCAGTCACCCAGGCCCTTTTCCTGTAGAGTGTGGGTACTCGGCACGGGATGTCAAATGAATAACATAAAGCCCTGTTCAAATCAAACCGATTTTCCCCTTGAGAAGCGTTTCCAGTTGCTGGAGTTGCAAGCTTCTGGGAGGAAGACAAGATCTTGCTTGACAGGTGCACAGCAAGCTGGGTAACAAGCCACAAGATCGTTCTGAACCATTTCCTAAACTTTGTAATGTTTTCTCAGACCCAGGAAGCTCTCTAACACTCCTTCGATCTCTGCAACTTAGTCTGTCACCATATTCCAGAAGTTTCTCCTAAGCTATGGAGCCTCAACTCCATTTTATAAACTACTAGGGTTTGCCACCCTTTTGTCTCCTTTGGTTTGGGTGTTGACAACCCTGCTCTATTTCACAAGGCCATCCATGTGACTGACTGATGCTGGCATCCACAACCGGATCCACACTGGCCAACCTCAAAGCCTTTCCAGACCCATCTTCAAAGGCAGAGTTGCCACCGTCATGCCCGCCTGAGGCCACTTCCCCTTCCTGCTACAGCTCCTCTCTCTGGTTTCCCAGGACTCCCAGTGGGGAGGAGGATATAGCCTGTGGGGACATTTCCTTCCTTCTCCTGCCTCCCCTCAGATATTTTGTAAGTCATTCCACTTGGGAACCTACATAGATCTTACCTCTAGATTTCTGGTCAACCACAAAATCAAAGACGGGCTGGTTCTTTTCACACCAAAGCAGAAAACCCTAATATATCAGACATAGCATCGTTCTATTTCATAAGCCCAAGGACTTCAGCTCCCATTAAGTTCAATTATCGTATATTTCTATTTCTGTGTGATAAGTTACTTCAAATGAAAGCTGG